ATCAATTGATACTGTTTTAGCGTTCAAGAAAAAGCTGTACGTGAAAAATACTTGGACTATCTGCGAAGCATATCAAAATTAAAGGAAAATCTTCGCTCACTTTTGACAGAAGTATGTCTCACGCTATTGTTTGAGTGAAATGATTGTATTTTGTAAATTTTTTTCGTATTTTTCGATGTATGAAATGCGTTCAAAATGTTTAAATTTAAATAAAGACTATACAAATGTTATTCAAGTACCAGATAATGGAAATATTTTAGAAGAATTTATTATACGAGACATCGCAAAAGATCTTGTTAAAGCAACAGATGTAAATTTATTTTATGACACATTTAAAAATAATAGTACAATATCTTACTTTTCTTTAGGATTATAGCCGACTTGAAATACAATGCGAGCAATTAAAAGAACAAATTCGTATAGCAGAAGAAAATCCACCGCCGTAAGTGAGGTACAACTTCTTTTAGTACTTTTTTGGTTATTTTTTCTCTTTTAGGCGCGTTTATCTTAGTATACAAGATCGTCGCATTTTAGATTGGCACTGTGCTAATTTAGAATTTGCTAATGCAGCTCCTCTTTCGTGCTTATCACTGAAGTACTGGGATCAAGATGATGAGTATGAGTTTAGTGGGTGTCATTTAACTGGTATGTCTTTAGTAGAGGTCTGCGAGACTAACTTTTACATATATCATAGTGCAACTTGACGTGCATTTACTGTAAAGAATGAGAAATACGCGTATGAAAATTTCTTAACGTTTAGTGTTATCTCGTTATTAATATACCATAAAGGTTTTAACATAGTATTTTTTTAGTATTCCCTTATTCTGAGTGAATCTTTAGAGTTATGGTTTCTAGAGATCCATCATGAATGTCAGAATCAAGAGATTTCGCTCTGTGCAGTTTGTTCAGCTCATCCAGCTGTTTGTATAGATAAATTTAGACTTCTAAAGACCCACTTAGAATGAGAGCACAAACGGACATCACAGCATTTAACCTAGAAAAACTAGCTTTAGTTAGAAAATCTTTGAAGCACTCGGGAAGGTCCCTCGTGAATATTCTTCGTTTATCATCATAAGTTTTATCGTTATCAGACAAATACCACGTGAGATTTCGCTTTTTATCACAATTACCTGTTTGCGCGACGGTCGCTTTCACAAGTCTTGATTTATCCAGTGTTTTTAGTGAAACCTTGTTCGTAAGAAAAGGGAAAAAGTGTTGAACGAGATTTTACAGGAAAATCATTTTTGAAGTTTCTACTGTTCTTGTGAAAACATTTTTGTCACTAAAAACGATAATGGAGCCAATCTCAAGTGAATACAAAAATCTTCATATTCTGCGATTTCACTGTTTTTGATTTATATATAGTTCTTCATGATGAGCTCTATTTGGTTTCTTCCAAAGAGGAAAATAAGGTTTACCCTCTCACGCCATTTAGAGGCGATATCTAATAAGTACAACAGGGTTTTTCATTAGAATGAAGAAAGAAAAACATACTCATACCCAGAAGAGTTTCGGGTGAAGATCAAACAAGACTTAGACACACTAAAAATGTAATTAGGCTCTGAAGAGCGGTGTTCAATTCGGCGAATGTCTTGCTCATAAAGAAACGAAAGTGTGGGACAGAGTGTTAAACTAAATCTTTATTTCTCATTTTTAGTTCGAAATGGCTATTCTGTACTGCCAATCGCACTATGTGAAAATGTAAACATTAAACTGAAACGCGTTGTTAAAAAAATTACCTACTCAAAAACTAGTAGGAACTATCACACTAAGAGATATGAGTTTCTTTTAAGTTTTACTTCTGTTCAGGTGTTGAAGTCAGTGTTGAAAACGTTGATGATTCAAAAACTTTCGTCAAAGAAACGTACGAAGGTGATGCCGTTCTGGTCACCGTGCCATTAGGCGTTCTGAAGGAAAATGTCATTGAATTTGAACCAATGTTACCGGAATGGAAACAATCGGCTATTGATCGTCTAGGCTTTGGGAATTTGAACAAAGTAATGTTTCAACGTTGTGTAAATATAAATAAGGTGTAATACGAACAATGTTTCTTTTTAGGTCGTATTATGTTTTGAAAAGGTTTTTTGGGATCCGACGCACACTCTGTTTGCTCACGTTGAAGCATCGACGTCATGTCGTGGAGAACTGTTTTTATTTTGGTGTTTTGTTAAACCACCTGTACTGATCGCTTTAATTGCCGGTGAAGCAGCCAATGTTGTTGAATGTGCAACAGACGATATAATCATCGGACGAACACTCGTTGTGTTGAGAAATATATTTGGAACCGCGTCTGTACCAACGGTATGTTTAATACATTTTTTAAAAACAACTTGTGGAAAAATTGTAACTTTTTCTCTATAGCCAAAAGAAACAATAGTCACACGCTGGAAAAGCGATCCTTTCGCTCGTGGTTCTTATTCGTATGTCGCTGTTGGAGCTTCAGGTAATACACACAGTTTAAGAAATGCATTTTTTGAGAATGTTGTGTTTTGTTTTTTATTCAAGGTGATGACTATGATATTCTTGGACGTCCGGTGATAAGGGAAAATGAAACTATTCCGAGATTATATTTTGGTGGAGAACATACAAATCGAAATTATCCGGCAACTGTTCATGGTGCTTTATTGAGTGGTTTGAGAGAAGCAAGACGTATTGCTGGTATGGTTTTGCTCTGCGCCACAATGTCGTTTTTTTCATGTAATTCGAGCTGTTTTTTTTTAATTTCAGATACATTTCTTGGCTCCATTTACGAAATTTCGACTGGGTAATTCAAGAGCTTTTACAAGATCTTTTTATTTTGCTATTTTTGTAAAGACTACTGTATTTCTGTTTTAAGAAATTTTGTTAATTAAATAAAATTACTGTTGTACATTCTTGAAACTTCTTTTTAATTACGCGTCTACTGATCTGCTTTTATTGGAAATTATTTTCTTCTCCTCTATTAGAAATTCTCTTTTCGAATACTGAATCTTTCAGTATGGTGTTTGACTGTCTTGGAATCACATCAACTACTGTGGTATAATATCCGAAAGAATGTCATCGAATCATTCGTGGCACGGATTGATAGTTATCAGAATGGGAAATGTGTCTGCAAACAAAACGTTTTAACATATGTTGTTTATAGACATGTTGAATCTTGTTACTCGTCAAGTTATCCAGTTCGATGTAAAGTTTAGTGGTATGTTTCGATTGTTTGTAATTCTTTCCACTTCTACGATTATTTCTCAATTCTCGGTAGAGAAAAAAGGTACGCTATACCGTACCAAATACATGCAACAAAGCGGTTTTACGACTACAAAAAAAGTCTCTGTGATGGATGATACCTTTAGTCATAGTGAATAAGAAAAAGGCAGTTGTTTCTGTTGTTTTTGAGGCACTACATACTGCACAAGTGTATGTCTATCTTTTTCTTTACATATCATATGGAAATTGATTTTTTTCATTCATGCAAAACAAACAGTTTGTTCATTATAATACAAACGTAACTTTTTCTCATTTAAGATTTGTCGTTGATTTTTGCTATTTAAACTCTAGAATGAACAATTACACCCATTCGTACGGTGTTCAACGAGTACCAAATACACCATCAGCTGAAACGTCGTTTTGCCAGTAAGTACTATGTTATTTTTAATTGTGTTATCAACTGCTTTACTGGCATAAAACTTAGTACCTAATCTTGGCTACTTTAATTTTACCAGTTTGTCTATATTCGTGTGAAACTGAATAAGAAGAAAGAAACACTTATTAATATCGAAAATAGTTTGTACATAAGAGATTTGTGTTTTTTAGAGCAGGTTCACACACTGCCACTGGTGGGCAAATTAAACGAATTGGACGAGATATTATTGAAGATTTATTTTGTGGAAAGAAAAATTCTGTTCAATGTTTAAATGAATACTGTTCAATGATAAAAAAGCCAATTACATTTACGGAAGCTGGTTGCCAGTATCGCTATGCAAATTATGCAACGATTGATGGTATTCAGTTTCCACAAGGAACGGGCAAAAGCAAAAAGGAAGCGAAAATATCGGGTGCTCGTCATGTATTTGCCGCTCTGTTAGATCTCGATGAAGAAGCCTTTGATACGAAATTTGCTGGTGAGAATGTGCTTTGTATAGCTAATACCATATTCGTATTAATACCTTTTTTCTGCAAGGTATGAGTGATGTTAAAATTGATCGCCATGGACATAAAATTGTTGAAAATGGTCCAAATCTTCCTGAACATCTGTTTACGGCTGAAATTGTTGAAGAATTAACACGAAAATTAAATGAATTAGCTGTGTATGTCTCAAAAAACACGGATCAATTTGATATTAACATCTACTCTTTCTTTCGTTCTAGTAATTCCGAACTATTTAAATCAAAAGGAGTAGCACATGCTTTACATCGTACTGTTACGGGACGACCATCATCAAGTGTATCAGCGTCGGGTTGTAGTGAAGACAATGCCAGTATTTACAGTGAAACATCATTTAATAAAGCCCGTCCTCCATCAGTCGTGTCGTATACAAATGGTCAAGGAACACCCACAAGTGGGATATCAGCAAATCAACCTATACAAAACCCAATAACAAATTTACAGGATTATTGCAAAGCCAATATGATTTATGTTGATATTAAAACAATTCGATGTTTCTCTGATGAAAATTCAGCCTCGAACAGTACTCATGCACCGTATGTAATAGCTCTATTATCAAAAATATGCTTATTACCTAACGTTTATATCTTATAGCTTTCGTTCATGGGTATGTTTAGAAAACGATAATACGAAAATTGCTGATGTTTTTGCATTTACGGCCACTGGTAGAGTACTTTGTTATTCGAATGTCTTATGTTTATGTAACGCAATATGTATTCTGTTCAGATGCGCGACGACGAGCTGCACAGCGTGCATTGGAAGCGTTGATGAGACGTCAACCACATCATGTAGGTTCAGAAACTTTTTTGTAATAGAATTATATTACAATAGGTATTTTTCTTTCACTTTTAGATTATTCAATCTAAACCGATGGTCACATTAACAGAATACGAAGAAATAGCCAATACTGTTGGTGATTTTGTGAAGCATATAAAACAATCCGATCAAGCACAAATCTTCCAGTCAATGGGCAGTCGCTATTATGCCGCCTTTGTTTTGAAAAAAAGTAAGCGGTGAGATACTTCTTACTTTCCTACATCTCTCAGTGGGAAAAGTGTTTTTCTCCTTGAAGACTTGAGAAATTCGTGCATAAGTGATATTTATTCATTTCACTTTTAGCACATCGTGATGTTGGCAAAGTTGTGGCATTTGGAATTGGTAGTCGATGTCCCGATCCGGAAAATGTGACAGAAAATGGGGAATCGTTACTGGATTGTCATGCATTAGCATTAGCTCGCCGCGCTCTCATTCAGTAGGTATTTCGATTTTAGCGATAAACATACCGTTTTCGTTTAAATTATATTTATAGATATTTTTACGGTGAACTGACAAATTATGCAAATGGAAGTTCTATTCGAACAATATTAGAAGGAAGTGAAAAAGATCCAACAAAAACTCAATTAAAAAATCATGTATCAATTCATTTGTTGATGAGTGGTGCTCCATGTGGAGATGCCAGAGATTTTTTACCATCAGACACAGATGGACACATGTCACCGTACGATGTGGTAAGTACAGAAGTTACAATGAATATTATTCTTCAATTGTTTCATTCTAATCCAACGGTCTACACAATCAAAGAAGTATAGAGTTGGTGGTATATTTAATCCTTCTAAATCCTTAAACGTCTTCTTCAGTCATTTAAGAAAATACATCTTTGCTATGTTCGGACGAGAAGATGGTAGCTTATATTATTAGGAAGTCATAGACTGTCATCTAAGTTGTATATAATTTTAGGTTCAAATGAGAGCAGCAGGTCATGCACCAGTTTATGACTTGCCAGATCATGGGCATCTTAAATATAAACTTTCATCTGGTAAGCTTTCGATTTTTTTTAATGATTGTTTTTCAAAAACTCATTTTTGTCTGATTTAGGACTCGAGACAATATCAGCCGATCCATTGCAACGATTTGCCATCATGTCATGTAGTGACAAGATATTAAAGTGGAATGTATTGGGTGTTCAAGGTGCATTATTGTCAAATTTAGTTGAACCAATCAAAATATCATCTGTTACATTTTGTATGTGGTTTCTTTTTTATTGATTGGAGTAAATCACACACATATAGATGAGAGACTGGTGAATTTGCTATCGTTCTACCTAAAGTCGTAGACTAGTACCCTTCTCCTTCGTGGTTGAACGAAACTCTTTGAATTCATTACCATTTTATTCAGAAATGTTCATTATATATGCGGTTAACATCTTTATTCATCTCGAACCGTTCGCGCGCAATGAGCATAATCAGCTGACTTTTCGTTCTTTTCGTCTTTGTTTTTTGCAGTGGTTCACACTTATTCTCTTTACTTAATTGACTTTTTCTTTTTTCCAGGACGAGGAAAATACGAACCTTTTTGTATTTGCTATAGCATTTAATATCCCCTATCCATTTGTAATCTCACTTTTGCTTAAAAACTGACTTAGAGCTCGTGGTCCTCGAAAGCTGATAAAACTGTCCTCATTTTTTATAAACAACAGGTGAGTACCATAGCTTGTATTCTTCTACATGAGTAAATAGAGAAAAACGGCCTAAATCGATTAGTGAAAATTATAGTTTTTTTATTTTTTTTCGTTTTTTCGCAGAAGATGATTTACTGTCGAGGATCGAAGTGGGACATACAATTTGTTTCACCCTTTCTATCTCTTCCCTGACCTTAGCTAAGAAGATTATGGCTTTATTTTTCTAGTATAAACGTAATAAGTCTGCCCAATGATTGGAAAGAAATATAGACATCTGAAGTTACTCTTGACAGGATAAATCTGAAAAATACAATGGAATGTCTCACTTGTAACTGTCGAAAGCGTCTCCTAAATTGAAGAAAACTTTGGTGATTAAGATTTTACTACACTGGAACCCGAATGACACTTAGTTTCCTCAAAATTCTGCTTCATAGGTTTTTCAGAAAATCAGACATCTATAAACTCCTGTTTTATGACATTTACTATCTTTTTAAATGCACCATTAGAAAGAACATACATTGAAATCTGTCTGTCACTTATTTCTTTTTTTATCAAATTAGCCCAAAGACTGTTTTAAGTCCCCTTCTCCACATACTACAGAGCTCAGAAAACACAAATGGTAGTTTACAAAACTGTTTTTCTGACACTTTGGTATCCTGTATTCGTTTACGATATTAAAATGTCCACTTTTTTCACGAATTTTGAAAAAAGTTGTTACTAAAATCATCATAATCACACATATATCCTATTTGTTTTTCTTTAGTAAGTGGCTTTAAACAACAGCATACATCACGTGCATTATGTTGTCGTTTGGATAAAGCGGCGGACCCAGTGTTCGTTCATCATCCCATGATTGGACGTATTAAATTTCCACAGCCACAACCGGAGACATTTTATGGTAAGAGAATGCAGCTAAACTTGACATAAATTTAGTTATTATACATAGGCGGGTGCAGACTCAATAAGCTAGAGTCTCTCTAGGTTTTGAGAAAAAATAGCTTTCTCTGCTGAAGGCTTAAGGTCCACCCCTCCTGTATGTGCCCCCAAACTATGTCAGTTTAAAGAGGACACCTGATTACATATATCCTTTAGTTTTTTGATGAACTGATTCAAAGACCTATTAAGTTTAAATTTTAGCTAAAATTTCGATTCCGATGGTATTGTAAAATAACTCATTATACTTTATCGGAATGCCCGATCAACGTCACGGCAGAGTTATTTTGTAGAAAATCTTTGGTTGTACATAATAAGTTTAAAAAGTTGGAAAATCTTTCCTACGACATAGGTGTTTTACGTGAAAGATTGTAAAAAGAGTGTTTTTCCTACTTTTAAGCATAAAAAGTAATTTTTGAAAATCTTGTCAGCGATTGTACGATAACAAAGAATTTCCGAGAAAAGTTTTCGATAGCGAAGTTGTAGCTGATGCCATTCTGCATGGAATAAGCGGAAGGAATTTCAAAACAAAATTTTGAACAGAAATTAAATGAAAATTAAACAATTCTTAATTTTAAATTTTTTAGTTAATAATTTTTTAAAGTTTTTGTCGTTAGAAAACAGAACCTGTCCTCTTATTCCACGTAGAATTTCACAGCGAACAACTTTTTTTCCAACAGTTTTTATGAGCTATGCTTGGCATAGTCAGAACCCGTAGCAAGATTTAGGGGCGTGTATCCCTGCAACAAGGGCATCCGAAAAGCCCAGCAATAACTGTCATAATCAATAATTTTCAATTGTGACATGGTGGCTAGATAATCCAAAGTGGTCTCTACCAGAGCCCTGCAGGTTGATCCTAACCTAACCTAACCTAACCTATAGGTTAGGTTAGGATTAGGTTGTAAAAGTTATAGGCTAGGTTAGGTTATAGGTTGTTCTATTTTTTTTTTCAATGGTTAGGTTAGGATTAGGTTGTCGAATTCATAGGTTAGGTTAGGATTAGGTTGTCGAATTCATAGGTTAGGTTAGGATTAGGTTGTGAAATTTTTTATAGGTTAGGTTATAGGTTGCCAAATATTGGCAACCTGCAGGGCTCTGGTCTCTACAATTCTGCGCAATTGTTGTGGTTCTCAGATGGCAAACATTTACCCGACGAAATGACAACGAATTACGGATGACTCAGAAAAATGCCTGCCATTTGAGAACCACAACAGGTAGAGAGGTTGGCCTTGCGCAGAATTGTAGAGAACACTTTGAGCTATCTTGCCACCATGTTACAATCAAAAATGCACTGCGGGTTCAGAATTTGTCAACTTCATCGCTTTCATCGGTCAGATACACCACCTGAAAAACCGAGATTTTTAGTACACATTATATGTGAAAATAAAGTAAAACCTTCTCTACAAAATGCTGAAAATCCGAACTCTCTATTTCTTTTCGTTCTCGAGTTGTTCAAAAAACATCCATGGCAGCTCTGTACAGAAATCTATAGTAGAAACCTCATTTACATGGAAGCGGGTACAAATAGCTGCTTATTGGTAACATTTTGAAAAGGCAAATACAGGGATCTGTAGCGTTTGCAAATCTCTCTCGAATGACGTATTACTTTACCGTTTGCAATAAACCATTAATTTGCAAATAAAAGTGTATCACCAGAGTGATTTTAATTAGTATTCATTAGCATTGATTAGTTATAAATTATTGTCTTAAAAAAAACTCTTTAAATCTTTTTTCATCATACCACAACAACAGACCATTGGCTATCAAGCGATACATAAATGACTTTTCTATGATTATTTTTGACTGAGCTACAAGCTTTTTAAAATGAGAACTAGGACCTTAAATTATTTTAATTAAAAAGTTAAACTTAATTAATTAATAACTCTGTGAATAGTTATTAGTTGATCGAAAAAACTGAAGGATATATGTATTCAGGTGTCCTCTTCAAACTGACATAGTCTGAGGGCACATATAGGGGGGAGCCCTTAAGGTATTCAAAAAAGAAGAGTTCGTTCATGAATGAAGAATATATTAATCAACACTGTAACCCTACAGCTTTTTTACCTTTATAAATCTGAAATAGCCTGTGAACAACCATTCCATACTACTAAGATGAGAATTTTTCTTAAATTTATACTACCTTCGAGCGAAAAACAGATTGAGCCTCACTAGGTGTCAAGAGGCTTCGCTGCCTCTTTTATCATATCTAGTTGAATGTCTGTAGCCTAGACATACAATACAAGCCACATATACAAACATTTATTTTTGTTCTTTAGATGATCATAGTTATTCATGGTCACAGTCGTATCAAGGCGAAATTTTGGATGCTAAAGCCGGACGACCAATAACAGGGTGAGTGAATATCTAAATAAACAATGTGGTTGAATTGAGAGCAAAAGTTGACTTCTGTGTCAAATTTCTCATATATGTACACTTCATGATTCCTTCCTTCTTCTTAGTGGCATAAGTGCAATATCCAAAGTCGTTTTATTGAGCGAATATAAAGCGATATGTCAAAAAATGAAACGTATTGTATCAGTTGAATCCACATATTATTCACTCAAACAATCAGCTACGGAATATCACAAAAAGAAAAAAGCAATGATAAACTTTTTAGAACTATCTAAAATGGGCTATTGGTCATTTGAAAAAAAGCATTTAGAACAGTTTAAATGGCATTCGACAATCGCTCCAATTGTTCGAAATATAACAGTTTAAATTTAGTTGTTTCAACAGCTGCATTGAGTGATATCCGTCCACAAATGAGAAGCAGTGTTTTTTTGCTGCTCCTATTTGTTTGTATCATTTGTTGTATTACTTTGCATCATTTAAAAATTAATTTAATTTTGTTGGTATATCTTTTTTTTCTTCAACATTTCAGAAGTATTCTCTCACTTTTTTTCCACATATCTATTGGTAAACAAAATAATGATAATTTCCAATTTATTTTCATAATCGTCAGATACTATTTTTGTAACACTCATGACACGTGGTATGACAATTTTGTGTGAGAATGTGAGTTTTTTTCTTATGCGTTATACCTTCTTTTTTTATTATTCCACGCATTTCTGTGTTAATTGTGAAACTTTTTTGCGAATCAGATAACTGTCATACCACTCATCTGTTAGTAAGAAGACAGTTTACGTACGTATATTTTGTGTTATTTGTTCATTTTCTTTTACTAAAACGTGAAATATTGTTCATTTACTATTGATGCGAAATATATCACGCTTATGATATTTAAACGAACTCTCTTAGATCTAAACTGTAGCTTGCCCTCTTCTCGAAAGTACTACATTCCTTATGAATAGATAATATAGAAACGAATGTTTTGATAAGAATAATATTTCAAAAAAGTTAAAATGATTATAGGAATCTATCGACCTATTAGGAAATTATTTTGCAGTAATTTTTCTGTGAATAGTGGTAAATAAAAGCAAAATTCGTGATAATAATCAACGCTGTTGAAGATAAACAACAAAGAAAATCCTATCAGCTATTTCTATTAGCGGTAATTAGGAAGTAGAAGAAAAACCTTGTCAGGATGGTACGTTCGGTACCAAAAGGTGAAACTTCCTATACTGATTCCCCGACCGATAAGAGGTTGCGAACGACCGGTTAAAAGGTTGTGACCGTCCGATTACAAGGTTGTGGCCGTTCTCTTGAGAGATTGTAACCGCCTAAAAAAAATTCTCCTGATATCAATCGATATCAGACAGGTACGTAAGAGGTTGTGACCACCATCTTAAGAAGTTGCGACCGAAAGTCATATCAGATTTTAAATAGGTTCAAAAAAAACCCATGATAACACTTGTTTTTCAGTATCTAACTGAAACTCCGTCTTCTGCGAAGACTTGGAGGGAGTTTCACAAAAGATTAGATTCATAACCTCAGAAAATAATTAAAATAACTGATGAGATTCTAGCATCGCACGTTTATACTAACTGTGACCTTCTGATTCACAATCGGACATGGTCTTACTATAGACTGGGAAACACGAAGACAAGTGGAAAATTATCACATCATGGTCATTTTCGTTTTTCAGAAAAACGCTTCTAATGAACATTGACAGAAAGGTTTCGACAGAGACTTTCTTCTCATATGACAGTCACATAGACGGCAAGCTTCTTGCAACCTAGTGAAAATTAAAAAGATAAAAAATCTTAGGATTACTGTATTAACTAAGATATTCTTCATTCATGAAGGAATTCTTGTTTTTTGAATACCTCTGTTAACTCCTACCTATAGGTGTTATCTACAAATCAAAAAACATTTTTCTTTCTCCGATGTACCGTTATCGAGAATTCCTGCACGTGGCCAAAGCTCTGAAGCTAAAAAACAGTCTTGACAAAAACGCAAAATAAGTTTTGGTTCTGTTAAATGCGTTTTACTTAAAAACTGTTTGAGACAAATGCAAAAAAGCCATTTGTTTTGCAATAGGACTTATGGTAAGCTAGCTCAAAAGCTATGACAAACCTATCGTATCGACACAGAAATTATGGCGATACGAAGTAGACACTCTGGGCTATCCAACCGTGTGCTTTTCTCAAAATCAATACTTTTGACGACAATCCAACAACATCGAGAGCAACTAAAACTAAAGTTTCTAGAGGCATCACTGATTAAACAAAAATATTGTGAGACTTTCACGGAAGATAACTGAAAAATCATGTTTTTATATTTACCTCGCTGGCCTGGACGTTCAAAAAATGACCTTTCGCACTCTAATCAACAAATCTCAGACGTTCATGTCATTTCAATGAAACGTACTGGAAGTCTCTCATCGATCTCATTTTACAGAGAACCCCTGACTGTATTTCAGTCCATGTTAGAGAAGAGAGTACCCTTAATATCAATGTCTGTACATGTTGCTGCAACTCTTAGGTATGGTGTGTTTTAAATTAGACAAAAGTAAAATAATTTACAAACAGTAAGCTAGTGATTTTATAGATCAAATATTGGTTTTTCGCAGTTGTTTAAATCTCCGTTAGCCCATGATGGAAATACCGTTCATCAAGCCGAGACGAATGGTGTTTCTAGCATTAGTTGAGAAGCCGTTACAGAAATAAGGTATTAAGAATTCAACGAAATAAGACTTGTCATCAACAATACAAACTAAACTGACAATATTTTATAGTCT